TTTACATATTCGGCACGACATATATATGAAGAAGAGAGTAAGTTGCCATTTTATTCAAATGATACAAGTAGCGAAAGGAAAAATTAAAATGAACAAATACAGTAGTATGCATATTAACTGGGACAGTGATGAAATGAGACATTAATTCGGAAATTTAATGTTATTTGAAAAATACACGGCAATGATATGATAGATAATTGATTTAATAAGAAATATGGCTACCCTTAGCTTTTATAAGCATTACTACACACTGGCACAGAATCAACCAATGTTGAACATATTTTTGCAAGGTCTTCGTCGAGCTACCTGGTCCTAATAATAGCAGCAATTAGTTTCTCTACAGTTGAACAATCCTGTTTCGCAATCTTACGTTTGGTCATTGCCAATAGATTCTCCATTAGGTTGAGGTCAGGAGAGGTTCCAGGCCAGTTGAGAGAGCTTAGCTCACTCTCCTCGAAGAATGTCAGCATTTTTCTGGAAGTATGGCACTGAGCAAGATCCTGCTGGAAATGCCTTCTCTATCAAGAAAGTCTCTATCCACAATGGGAAGCAAATGAGCTGCCAGGATTGTCATTGTTCACCGTTCTCTCAACAATAATAAGCCGTCCATTGCCTCTATCAAAATTACCCCAAAACATTTTCTTAGGTGGGTGTTTTGCAGCTTGTTAAATGTGTCCATTCCGGAAAGTTTCTCATTTGTTCCGTCTCACTACCACTGATCTGTACCTATGTACTTCAAAATGCGCCACATCTGAAAATATAACTTTTCTCCATCCATCTGTCGTCCATCCCTCATGATCGAGTGCCCTCTGCAGCCGTGTTTTCTTCATAGCAGCAGTCAATAATTGTTTCTTTACTGGCTTTCTGGCAATTGTGCCAATTTCGAACAGTTGAAGAATCAACATTTACGCAGCTGAAGCCAAATCTCTGTAGATCTTTGCTGGTTTTCTTGAGACCCTTCACACTATTTCTTATGATAACCTTGTCATCGTGAGGTGGTGTCTTGTGTTTACTGCCACATCTTCCTCGATGTAACGCTCCACAGTCACCAGTGTCGTCAGCTCTCTTCAGAATCCTACCATCAATTGACTTTGCTAGGCTCAAATTGTCGGCAATCTGTCTGGTACTCATATCAGCATGTTTATCAAGAGCTACAATACTTGCACACTTCCTAGGTGTAACATCCATCAAGAATTTCAGCAATAATCATGACTGAAAGGGAGAATTTGGCAAAACCACTTACACTTACGGAGCAAGCTTGCAGGAATATCCTTACAGAACAACAGCTGTTGTAGCACTGACGATAGTCGCAGGGTAACACCACATATGGATGGTTACCAGAAGTCGGAAACAAACTCTTATGAAAAAGAAAATAACTCAAATTAACTTAATTAAGCCAGAGACTAAGACATCATAAGATTATCACAAAATTTGTTCCAGTCCCAATTAATTTTACACACTACTTTATATTTTACCAAAGCTCAGTATTTTGAAGCACAATTTGAGGGTCAGAATTTTTATTTTCATTTCAATTTTATTTTCACTATTTGAATCACTTGAAGAAATTGACAATTCATTTCTCTTCATCACTAAATTATGAATCAAACACTTATCATCTAAAACTCGATTTGTATCCTTATTCCCTAACTTTTTTTTTTTATCAGAGAGAAGCTGTGAATACCATCTTTCGGGTAGAGACTATACTCAATATGGCTGCCCAAAAGGGTTGTCAATTAGTATTTTTAGACTGGTTGTAGCAAAATATAAAATATAAGTTTGGAAGTAATATATTGAATAGTTATTATTTACAGATGTTGAGAATAAAAATTATATGCAATTGAAATTTTATTATCAATACTAATTTAATGTAACATTTTAAAATTTCCCTCCAAAGTATTCAAACTGCCCTCAAAAACACTTAAGATGTCCTCAAAAACATTCAGACTGCCTCCCTTTCCTGGACTGCGAATTTAAGGACCGCGTTTCGAGCCCCTCGTCCACCCTTCGGTTTATTCATTGACATTTGTTTATTACAGCTTAATTTAAGCTCACAGACGATGTGACCTTGAGAGAGGTAGGAACAGATCTACTGTTAAAGCTCCTGGGCCGAGGGAAGGAGTTCAGTTGGGTTACATTTGATCTCTCTGACGGAATGTAATACAGTATTAGTTCCGGATCCTTCCTATTAGAAGTCTGGGTAGCAGAGACGGTAGAGTGTTGAACTCTCTATTTATGAATTACAGGGGACGTCGAATGATAGCTCTGGGCCTTTCTTGTTGCGCTCAACACATCATCAGGAGCTTGCAATGTTGCAGAGAGTAGGAAATCAGGAAGGTCTGTTCATGAACACGAAAGGCTAAGAGATATCATTCAACTCCCCCTGTGGTTGTTTCGCATCCTGTATCACTTACTCGCAATATATATATATATATATATATATATATATATATATATATATATATATATATATATAATATATATATATATATATATATATATTATACACCAACAAAGGGCTTTAATACTAGGACTGGCCGGATCGAATCCCCGATATTTTAGCACGCTGAGAAGGCCACCAAAATTCTGAGACGCCTTGGTTCACTGGGCCATCAATGCTTCAAACATCAGGTGCCCAGTACCACTGGACATTTCACTACTGATTCGAGCACATAAGTGGCCATGGAAGCTACAGGACTAATTTCATTTTTCTTCCGTTTGGAATACCAGTCTCCACGAACATTACACATATTAATATGTCTTCATTACAAGTGGTGTAGTAATTAGCTATAACCGTCGCAGAAACCCTTTAGTGAGAGCACATATTTTCTTCCGTCAAAGTGGTGGCTTCACTTCTGTACTTACGATGGTGTGAGTTATATCAGCAAACTCGTCTGCCTTTTCAACTCACACAGCTCGTAGGCAGTAGCCGAGTTGTTACTGTAGCATGAGTCAGGGTTGCATCTCTGTTGTCTGAAGACTTGTGTCCTCGGTGGTGAGTTTATAAAGTCTCAAGAACTCGGCTTCATTGGAGCCATCTCCGGGATGCAACTCGAGCAAGTGGGTGACTTAGGAAGTTCTTTGGAGGTCCACCCGTGTCAGATGTACAATTCATATTGACTCTGTTGATTATGATGATAATATATTCACCAGGGATGAAGTCTGATACGAGTCTTTACCAAAAGGTGACCCGTCACTGGCTCCTGAAGGAGAGTCAGTGTTTGTACAAGTGAAATACCATTTACAGCACTATGACAAAGGCACTGTCTAATGTACCCCAGATATCAGACATCTTAAGACCCGCCCTACACTCATCTCTATAGAACTACTACTACTAATCCACATGGAGTAATTACTCCACCTCTTATGGACCTGATCCGTCCGCTTCCAACCGCCACTACTATTACAACTTGCTCCATTCTTTCAACATACCTCTAGACCCCTGTGTGGCATATATGGAGACTTATACTTATGAATAACTGATGATATTCATCAGATGTGGATTATATTATTATTATTATTATTATTATTATTTATTGTTATTATTATTATTATTATTATTATTAGTAGTAGTAGTAGTAGTAGCAGTAGTAGTAGTAGTAGCAGTAGTAGTAGTAGTAGCAGTAGTAGTAATAGTAGTAGTAATAGTAGGGTGACCAGAAAAAGAAGAAATACTTTCACCATCACTTACTCCAATACCCACTTGCCAGGCTGCCACTAAAACTTGCAGTATACCCACTTGTTCCTTTATTATTTTTGCTCTCTAGGAGAGCGAAACGTTGCCATAAAATTTCACATGTGTTCTTTTACTTAACATAGTTGTTATTATTGTTATTGATAGTGTTATTCTTCTTCTTATTATTATTATTCTTAGAGGGAAGCGCGTGGCAGTGTGACACAATTGTATTCGATCAATTTTGAAGGGAAGAAGAGGTCCATTTCCTTGGATCAAGAGCTCCTCACCAGTATAAAGGCACCTCCCTAGAGGGAGGTGCCTTTATACTGGTGCATACTGGTACATATCAGAGACAAAAATCTCTGAGGTATGTACATCAATGGTATACATTACCGACAAGATGAGATATTAGACACATGTGCAACATCAGGGTATCTTTATTGTAGACGTTTCGCCATCCAGTGGCTTTATCAGTGCAAGACAAGGACATAAAATGAACACTATGGAACTATATACAGACGATGAGGTAATCAGGAACTGGAGAGGAGCAACCTAGTTTTTAAGAGTCTGAATCACAGGCAAAATATTAGCGCTGATGTATTTGCGGCAGATGAGGGACGTGCAGCAAACGAAGGTATTGTAACTTGCCTAATGTATACAGAATAAAGATATGCAGATGTTGCATATATGAATAATTCCTTATCTCTGAGGCATTAAAAAATAAGTAACTACTTCAGTGTACCGCTTCGGCGATTCCTCATTAGTTAGGTCTACATCGTATCAACTTTACGTAAGTCAAGACTGTATTTCACCGGTGTATCAACATTCAAGAATACTTAATCACTAAAATACGGATTTTCGTAAATCTTAGCGCAAACAATCTAATACGTATATGAATCTTTCTCTGTGTAAATACTCACTCGAGCAGCTTTCTAACTCACCCCCTCCCTACCCCATCTTTTTCTTCATCCCATTGTACTTATTTTCTCTTCATTCCCTCCCTCTCTTTCTCCTTCACGTATTTTTAAAAAAGGTGTAACTCTCAAGCTCTTCAGGCAGCAGCTGATGGGTGGCCCTCAGACAGGTTTTGTAGGAAATGCCAAGAACAACGCAGTCCATGAGGTCAATGGCTTGTTTTGCTCAACATACACTCAGATTTTAGGAAAGGGCTGGGTGGGGTTTATGTGGTCAGGGCAGGATTAGTATGTAGGGTGGGAGTGGCTCATATGTAGTGGGCGTGGGGTTCCTTGTTGAGGGCGTGGACTGGGCGGAGCTTTGACACACAATGTTATCTAAAGTGGGAGAGTCACAGGGTTACCTTCCCGTTCATCGGCCTTACTCCGGCAGTCAGGCTCAGGCCCTGCACTAGTGAGCATCATTTCCTTCACGTCCCATTCTTCTCATCATCTTCAGCCTTTTCCTCTCCAGTTTCCCTAGACTCTCACACTTGCGTGACAGGAATCAACTCTTCAGGCTGTTGTGATCTGTCGGCTGCACTTGACTCCTGAAGGTAAGACACTAACATTTGTTCTCAAAAATAAACATTAGCAGGCCTTCAACTATTTATTTGAATATTTATTTAATTAGTTGAGTAATTTCATCGATGAACAAAATGAAAGCTCTTGTTCCCAAATTTTAATACATAGTTATTAATAAATTGTGGTTTATTAGTCGCTTACCTAAATTTCTGGGCTCAATTAGAAGTGTTATAATGAAGGGAGAGAAATAGTATATATACATCGAGATGTACTTATCAACTTGTACTCATTTAATTGTGGTTGCAGGAGTCGAGTCATAGCTCCTGGCCCTGCCTCTTCACTGGCGTGTATTCCTCTCAGTATATATATATATATATATATATATATATATATATATATATATATATATATATATATATATATATATATATATATATTTATATTGAGAGTTTTCTTTAATTTCTATTTCAGGGATTAAGTATTCTTACGAGCAGACTTCATGACCCTAGGTCTAGTCAATAGGCTTCCACGCCGTTAATCAACCAAGAAAAGTTTAACCTAAGAAGAAAGAGGCTCCATAGGAAATTTAGTAACGTAATAAATGCAAACCACGTCAGGAAGTAGTTACAATATTGTTGAAATCTGTATCACTACTGGGTATAATATTTAACACTTACCATCATAACGGAGCTACAGTTAACTTACAATAGGACGCTGACCTTGATGATGAACACTGTGTCTGTTATTATTGAATTCACTTAACTCGCAAAATAAATCAAGCAGAATGACATTTGCATAATCGAAGATGCAGGTATCTTTGAATAGTGGATATAATGAATAAATATAAATATATTCCTTGTAAGAAGAGGTCAGCTTAACCTTGGTTTCCCTATGATTTAATATAATGTACAGTTGTCTCTGATCACTTATTCTAATACTATGTACTTGACCGTCTATTTTATGGGGAATCTTGAAGTTGTCAGGTGTGAGAACAGTGTTGTCAGGTGTGAGAACAGTGTTGTCAGGTGTGACAACAGTGTTGTCAGGTGTGAGAACAGTGTTGTCAGGGTAACATCTTTGTGATGGTTGGCCAGGCCAGGAGAGCATTATTAGCCTGCCAAGTTATATTAATTTACCCTGATGACAATTCATTCTCAATTTAAAACGTCAGTGACTGACTCACGAAATCGTAATGACACGATTGCAAACAAACCATACCACGGACGGGGATAGAACCCGCGATCAGAGAGTCTCAAAACTCCAGACCTTCGCGAAGGTCGGATGGTCAGTGACTGACGTTTTTTTAAAGGTCAACCATCCCTCGTTTCCTAGTTTTTTTCTAATTGTATTTTCTTTATTTTAAATTAAATTAATTTAGATTATGTTAAGTAAGGCTGGGTTATGTTAGAGCATAAGGCTATTAAAAAAGGCACAATGTTGTGACTGGAACAATACACACACTGTGACACTAGTTAATGTTACAAGTCAGACCCAAAAGTCGTCGTAAGTCTCTTTATGTGCGGGTTATTTGTGCATGAGCCTATTACAAAAACAAAAAAATACCTTCTTGAGACGTCTGGCATCTAGTGACGTGTATCCCTCTTAGTGTGAGAATGATTGACATGTGTCCCTCTTGGTGCGAGAATGAGTGACGTGCATCCCTTATGGTGTGATAATTTTCTTGTCCAACCCCACTACCACTACCATTTATGCCGTTGTGGTATAAATGGTGGTGGTAGTGGTGTTGATGGTGGTTGGCTGATAATAGTGAAGAATGGGGAGTAAGAGGTGGGTAAGCTGATTGTGATAGGTAAGGCTGGGTAGGTAGAGTTTGCTCCTAGGGGTCACTGCAGTCCCTACTTACTACACTAGCGTCTCCGGCGTACCTCATCAACATGCTGGGCGGGTATCTACCCTCCGCGGCTAGGGGAGGTGTGGTGGTACAAGAGGTGATTCAACCCACTTCTAGCGAATATAACCTCGATAACTCAGACCACCATGGAGTCCGCACATAGTCATAAAACGAACTTCGATAAAGATAAACTCTGTCATCAGCCTTGTCCTGGAGTTAAGATAATACGAGGAGAAACTACAAAACCTGAAGCCAACGCCATAAGAGGTGATAATGATAAAGTAAGACAGTATTACAGAGAAGAGGTGAGCAGAGACGTTATCAGAGAGAAGGAAGACAGAATAAGGGGTAATGTCTCATAGAAATATGTTGAAAATTCAGATGATCGAAATAAATTTAAGCAAGGACTCTTACAGTGTCAAAGTGAACTGCGGTTCACCTTGACACTGGGACGGGCAATGTGCAAGACACAACTCTACCTCTCAAGGAATTTTTTCCCCCTCAACCTTCCTATTGCATCTCTTGCAACATTGCGTAACTCCTGGTGCAGCGCGGATGTGCGAAAGACCTAGAGATAGTGTTTTCTATCCCCTTGTAACTTGTGTTGCATTATTGAGATCGTCTGTCTGAGATTGGTTTGTATATATATATATATATATATATATATATATATATATATATATATATATATATATATATTTTTTTTTTTTTTATTATCACACCGGCCGATTCCCACCAAGGCAGGGTGGCCCGAAAAAGAAAAACTTTCAACCATCATTCACTCCATCACTGTCTTGCCAGAAGGGTGCTTTACACTACAGTTTTTAAACTGCAACATTAACACCCCTCCTTCAGAGTGCAGGCACTGTACTTCCCATCTCCAGAACTCAAGTCCGGCCTGCCGGTTTCCCTGAATCCCTTCATAAATGTTACTTTGCTCACACTCCAACAGCACGTCAAGTATTAAAAACCATTTGTCTCCATTCACTCCTATCAAACACGCTCACGCATGCCTGCTGGAAGTCCAAGCCCCTCGCACACAAAACCTCCTTTACCCCCTCCCTCCAACCCTTCCTAGGCCGACCCCTACCCCGCCTTCCTTCCACTACAGACTGATACACTCTTGAAGTCATTCTGTTTCGCTCCATTCTCTCTACATGTCCGAACCACCTCAACAACCCTTCCTCAGCCCTCTGGACAACAGTTTTGGTAATCCCGCACCTCCTCCTAACTTCCAAACTACGAATTCTCTGCATTATATTCACACCACACATTGCCCTCAGACATGACATCTCCACTGCCTCCAGCCTTCTCCTCGCTGCAACATTCATCACCCACGCTTCACACCCATATAAGAGCGTTGGTAAAACTATACTCTCATACATTCCCCTCTTTGCCTCCAAGGACAAAGTTCTTTGTCTCCACAGACTCCTAAGTGCACCACTCACTCTTTTTCCCTCATCAATTCTATGATTCACCTCATCCTTCATAGACCCATCCGCTGACACGTCCACTCCCAAATATCTGAATACGCTCACCTCCTCCATACTCTCTCCCTCCAATCTGATATTCAATCTTTCATCACCTAATCCCTTTGTTATCCTCATAACCTTACTCTTTCCTGTATTCACCTTTAATTTTCTTCTTTTGCACACCCTACCAAATTCATCCACCAATCTCTGCAACTTCTCTTCAGAATCTCCCAAGAGCACAGTGTCATCAGCAAAGAGCAGCTGTGACAACTCCCACTTTGTGTGTGATTCTTTATCTTTTAACTCCACGCCTCTTGCCAAGACCCTCGCATTTACTTCTCTTACAACCCCATCTATAAATATATTAAACAACCACGGTGACATCACACATCCTTGTCTAAGGCCTACTTTTACTGGGAAAAAATTTCCCTCTTTCCTACATACTCTAACTTGAGCCTCACTATCCTCGTAAAAACTCTTCACTGCTTTCAGTAACCTACCTCCTACACCATACACTTGCAACATCTGCCACATTGCCCCCCTATCCACCCTGTCATACGCCTTTTCCAAATCCATAAATGCCACAAAGACCTCTTTAGCCTTATCTAAATACTGTTCACTTATATGTTTCACTGTAAACACCTGGTCCACACACCCCCTACCTTTCCTAAAGCCTCCTTGTTCATCTGCTATCCTATTCTCCGTCTTACTCTTAATTCTTTCAATTATAACTCTACCATACACTTTACCAGGTACACTCAACAGACTTATCCCCCTATAATTTTTGCACTCTCTTTTATCCCCTTTGCCTTTATACAAAGGAACTATGCATGCTCTCTGCCAATCCCTAGGTACCTTACCCTCTTCCATACATTTATTAAATAATTGCACCAACCACTCCAAAACTATATCCCCACCTGCTTTTAACATTTCTATCTTTATCCCATCAATCCCGGCTGCCTTACCCCCTTTCATTTTACCTACTGCCTCACGAACTTCCCCCACACTCACAACTGGCTCTTCCTCACTCCTACAAGATGTTATTCCTCCTTGCCCTATACACGAAATCACAGCTTCCCTATCTTCATCAACATTTAACAATTCCTCAAAATATTCCTTCCATCTTCCCAATACCTCTAACTCTCCATTTAATAACTCTCCTCTCCTATTTTTAACTGACAAATCCATTTGTTCTCTAGGCTTTCTTAACTTGTTAATCTCACTCCAAAACTTTTTCTTATTTTCAACAAAATTTGTTGATAACATCTCACCCACTCTCTCATTTGCTCTCTTTTTACATTGCTTCACCACTCTCTTAACCTCTCTCTTTTTCTCCATATACTCTTCCCTCCTTGCATCACTTCTACTTTGTAAAAACTTCTCATATGCTAACTTTTTCTCCCTTACTACTCTCTTTACATCATCATTCCACCAATCGCTCCTCTTCCCTCCTGCACCCACTTTCCTGTAACCACAAACTTCTGCTGAACACTCTAACACTACATTTTTAAACCTACCCCATACCTCTTCGACCCCATTGCCTATGCTCTCATTAGCCCATCTATCCTCCAATAGCTGTTTATATCTTACCCTAACTGCCTCCTCTTTTAGTTTATAAACCTTCACCTCTCTCTTCCCTGATGCTTCTATTCTCCTTGTATCCCATCTACCTTTTACTCTCAGTGTAGCTACAACTAGAAAGTGATCT